ATAACTTAGGAGTATTATATAGAACCCCATCATAGTGTATCAAATCTGTTCCCACGTCCAAAGGTGCGCCGTTGCGATTTAGTGTCACGGCATCGCCGTATCCTGCACGGGCGAAGATCCTTTTGTGTATTTAGCCTCTTTGCTACCTCCTCTTAATACATGGGTGACATTTCATTCGTTGGGTGACTTATTATGCACGAATCCTGCCTGTAGCTGCTTCGATCCCTGCCCAGTGTCGAATGCGTGAAGGGCAGCGATTGACCTAGCAATAATAGGTTTTGCTGGAAAATCTTAGTTTAGCAACAAATCAGGCCACAATCTTAATCATGACGTTGGGGTGTAATTACAGATGATTTGGCAAGCGCTTTGGGGATAGCTGAGGTCACTCTACTATATCGTCAGTTGACGACGACGCATAGGCTCTTGAAGCTGACACTGGCGGCCACTAAAGAGTTAAGCTATCCACTTCTGCCGAGGATCATGAGTACACGCCTCCTTTTGTTAATTGCACTCGCCTCTACCTGGTCAGGTAGGCATCCTCGGCTGTTTGTCAGCGTTTGCCGTGAAGTATGAGTATCGCACACGCACACGTAAAATTCAAAATTTAAATATGTTTTTGTTAATTACCGAAGTGGGAAGGGAAGGGAAGGGAAGGTCCAAGTCGAAAAGGTTTGTTGCTGCTGTGACTGGAACCATTCTTACGAATTTAAGTTTCAATTTGCTCATGATTTTGCGTATTCCATTATACTGCTGCCGAGTCCATGTACAGTATTGCGGTAGCCAGAAATGCAACCACCTTGCACACGGATGAAGCGCGAGCCGACGCATGGCCTCATGACTTGATGCTATCTGATCACGACATACTAAAGCCTTTGTGCCTTGTAGGTTTATATCGGCCTACCAGTTGTTCCCTTATCGCTTGTGCTGCTACATGCTGTCAGGTCCATCATCTATGCCAGCGCCGGCTACACATTGGGCCCGCTGGCATATTTATGTTACGTATTTATATGTCTCGTGTTACCTTTATGTCTCGACTTGAGTTGTTGCACGTAGCGTCCAATTCCTGGTCCGTCCGATGTTCGCTACCGGACGCGAATAGGAATTTCGCAAGGTTCTCTCGCGCAATCCGACCTCGCTACCGAGCAACGCTCTTCATTTCATCACCATGAATAGTTTTCCAAACGCAAACACATAAACATGTACCTGTTTTTTTATGTAGGAAAACGCACACTGCGCCATGGCGTAGATTTGTTTGTGTGGTCTTCAGGATGCGCCTCCCCCCTCTGTGCGCGTCCCTCCCCCCGCCCCGGCGGTGCTGTCTGCACTCGCAGGTTCCTTGGCAGTGTACGGCAGTAGCGCCGCTGATGATGATGCTCGCGTTGCTAATGGACAAGCTGCCGCCGCCGCCAGGACTGTCGCCGATGGCAGCGGTGGCGGTTTTCATCATGAGGGCCTTATAAGTAGCAGCAGCAGCAGCATACGGAGCAGCGGGAGTGCAGACTTTTCATTTGAGGGCCCCAGGGGATGGCGGTCGGGACAGTTCGGCGATGCGAGGTCGCTGGCGGAAGCGAGGTAAATACTCATGTACCGTACAATGTCGTACGCATTGTTGAGGCGTACCTAGTTCTTTAATCAACTCGCCGTACATGGCCATATCCTGAGGCGATTTGTAGAACCCTGTGTATATTTTTTCTTGTTATGCATAGCTCCCCTCATCATTGTTTTTCGCGGGAACCACTGCTGTACTGTCCTGCCGTATCGTACTGTTTTTTGTACGGGCAGGTTTTCCCTGTCTGTTCCGTGCCCATTTGAACTTACGACTGAGCTAAAATCCGTACTTGCCTTGCTTGCCGTACTCCTTCCAGTGTCCCTGGCACAGGGCCCCCCCCTGGTCTTCAATACAATCATGGCTATTGTGCAAGTATCCGCAACGGTTACCCGTACAAGCTCGCGCTAAGTAACCCAGCTGGAAATGTAAGTTATGGGCTCAATGAAAGTTACAAGATAATAATATTCGAAAGGTCGACCTCGGAAAGCTATAGGTGTTGGCATCCCATGGCATTCCGGTGGGAGGTGCGGTGTTTTCGATGCTATGGACGTCAAAATAAAGCAAGGATGGGGGGGTACTTTGAGGATGGGGTTGCGCATTCCCAACAACTTCACGCATCAGAAGGGGCAATCGGGACAATACTGGCTGAGCACAATAATGGCCGCCTGCTGCTACAGCTGTACCTGTGTTATCCTTTAATGCGATAGTTTTCATCGGAGTAGACCTTGTTGCCTTGTTCGACTATATAGAGCAACCTGTCTCCATTCGCTAGTTCCCGCGTCCATTGGCCATTGGCCGTTGGCGGTTAGTAACCGTGCAGCTGCACTTCATCATCACAGGTTTATATGTTTGTCCTTCTGTTCGGTCGGTTGGTTGTTTGATGCGCGTAACGCCAATAATCGGATGCCAATTTCCCGCGCGTAGGTGTCCGTTGACGGCAGTCAACGCGAATATTGTTTCGAGTTCGAATCTGGGAACGGTTGTCCGTCAGTGAACTTGACGGAAACACAGCAGTCGTGTTGTAAAGCTTTTCTAGGAGAGCTTCACAGCATTTATTTACTGATTGGTGAGAGAGGCGTAATGGTTGATGATGAGATGATGATGATGATGATGATGATGATGATGATGATGATGATGATGATGATGATGATGATGATAATTATTCTAATAATAAATGCTAATAATAAATTTTATTATAAATAATAATAACAGCAGCAGCAGTAATAATAATGCTGTAAAAGCAATAATAATAGTACCAATTCTGATGATGGAGATGAAGGGTCTTGTCCTGAAGGGAATTGACATAAAAGGGTTGGCAAATCAGAACCCTCCGAAGAGGCCCTCTACACCACCGTGTGTAATTAACCATACTGTGTGGATACACAGTGGTCAA